CATATTACTTTGAAGCAAACCCAAGACATCAAATTGTTTCATCCATATTGGTATATAACTCTAAAAGATTATATAGACATGACATATATTCATTATAACCATAATATCATTTCCCTACCTAAAACATTAAAAATCCAATCATCTGTAGCTTACATTTTAACAGGGGAAACAAGGAAAAAATAAGCAAAAAATATTAGGCAATAATGACAATAATGCCCAGGTGATGGGATAAAGATTGATTTTTCTATTGGGTGATCAGAGAAATCCTGCAAGGTGACATTTGATGATGGATGAGCATAACAGGAGGGAGCAAAGCACATGACTGTGTAGAGGAAGAGTCTTCCTCACAGAAGTTCCAGCCAGTGTAAAGATCTGAGGCAGAGCTCAGTGTTCAAAGAATGGGAAAGAGGCCTAGGAGTCTGGGAGGACTAAGTGGAAGAGTACAAGGATATGATTTTGGAATGCTCACCTGAGGCCATGAGAAAGGACTTCAGACCTGACTCTAACTAGGTGGGATGGGCAGCCTTGGAGGATTCTGAGCAGAGGAGAGACATGCCTTGACTTATGATTATAGAGGAGCATTCTGGTTGCTCTGCTAAGAGTGATGTATAGGAGGACATTTTAGGAGAACAAGTGTCTGAAACAGGAGCCCAACTAGGAAATGATTGAAACACTCCAAGTGAGCGCTGGTGAGAAGGTCATAAAGGTCATGATGAATTAGGGTAGTAGCAGTGAAGATGGTAAGAAATAAGTCATTTCTCAGTAAGTTTAAATTGACAGCTAATAGAATTGGCTGATAAACCAGATGTAGAGTAAAAGATAAGAGACAATGTAAGTCAAGGCTAACTCCAAGATGTTTGGGCTGACCAACGAGTGCCATTTACTAAAGTGAGGAGTATTGGAGGAGGGGCAGGTTTGAAGTAATTGGACATGTTAAGTTTGAGATGCCTATTACACACACATCCAAGAAAGACATCAAGTAGATAGATAGCTAATTCCAGAGTTTCTGGGAGAGATGAGGGCTGGATCTATAAATTTGGGAGATATCAGTGTGTAGATGATACTGTAGACGCTAGTCTCATCATGGGACTGAACGAGAACACCCAGGTAGTGAGGGAAGACAAAGAAGAGGAGAGATTGGAAAGAGAAAAAGATCTGGCTGAGGAGCCTAAGAGGCCAGTGAGGTAGAGGAATGCCAGAAGAGTGGATCCCGTGAGCCAGGGCTGCTGTGAGATCAGTAGGCTGAAGACTGAGAAATGCCAATTAGATTGGACCCTGTGGTGGCTATCTGTGACCTTGACAGACAGCTTCATCATATGGATAAAGACAAAAGCTTAAGGGTAGTGGACTCAAGCATGAATGGAGGTGAAGAAGTGAAACCGGGGGAGCAGAGAAGTGGGCTGGCAGCTGAAGAAGGAAGTAAAGTCAAGGGAGGTTCTGTTAGTTTTGTATTTTTTAAACTGAAGTTATAGCATGTTTGCATGCTGACAAGAATGATCCAGGAGAGAGTAAAAAACATGATTCTGGAAAGACAGGAGTAGTTGCAGGAGCAAAATTCCTGAGTGGGTAAGAAAGGACAGGGAAGCTAGTGCACAAGTCAGGGAGACACCCAGGAACACACCACATCCATTTCTACAGGAGAGGAGGTCGAGTATGCGGGGAAAGATACAGGCGCTTGGACAGATGCAGTGGCTGGAGGACATGGACATTCTCTTCTATCATCTCACCATGAAACAACAGGCAAGGATGTCAACTGAAAGTGAGAATTTGGGGGATGGTGCTGGTTTGCAGCAAGCAGTAGATAAATGCAACAGGCAATGACTACAGGACTGCAGTAGGACTACTGGGCAGTGTTGAGGGCCTGCTTGAGATGTGTGCTCTGTGAGAAATGATCTTTAAGTCAAACTTGGATGGTGTTGTTCCCTTCTTTCCACAATCCAGTACCTCTCCCAGCACTGAGGACTGTATCTTGCTACAATTAGTCAGTACATCGGTTCATTGGTTATGATATAATTTATTATTTATTAATGCACATCACCATTCATTCACTGAATCATATTTATTGAGTGCCAGGCACCACTTAAGGTACTAAGGCTATATCAGTTGAACAAAACAAACCTCTGACCTCAGAGAACTTCTCTTCCATATCTTAAAAGACAAGAGACCTCATCTTTGGTAAATACAACTCCTCAGTGAAAACCAGTGAGGAGGTGGAAGTTTCATATTTAAGTACTCAAAACTAAAGTCACCTACATTCTAAAAAGAAGAATACCAAGGTGCCATGATAGATGTGGCCAGTAAAGGAGTGAAGGACATGCAGTCCGCCTCAGGGAATGCATCTTTCTTTTTTTCCAACTGGTGCTGGGCTAGTTCCATGGAAAGCAGCCAAGTGCAGCAGACAGAAGAGTAATATGCTGGAATTTTTATCTCTAGTGTCAGAGTAAGGATTCATCATTATCTCCAGAAAAGCATGAATTGATGGACCATCATAACAAAACAGGGTCTGCTCCATCCAAATTCTCAGGACTACATAAACCCCGGAAGATACAAGTTCCTTTCAGTTTAGGAATATGTAAAACAGAGCATACCCTTGAAAGGGCTTAACTGAGGGCATCTCCTCATTCCACCTTCCTTTTTTCTTGCCCATTTTGGCCTTTTCTTCCTTCCTTCCTTCTTCTTTACTCACTAATTTTCATCTGCTTTCCATTTTTAATGAAACAAAGGCTCTTAGAACCACTAGCTCAGGAAGCCACTGTTTCACTATAGGCTGGTCGCTGGCATTCTAGGAAGAAAGCTGGCTTTAATTGAAATCATGGCTCCCTTCTGACTTTGGGCAGGAAGGTGCGAGAAGAGTGGATTGGGAACATGGACTGTGAGTTCCCTCCAGAAAGAGATTTGGATCCTCTTTTAGTGACCTCAGACTTCACAGCTCTGCTGCAAGAAACAAGAATAAAATGCTTGTCCAGAAAAAGAAGTCAAGGGAATTCCCTGGTGGTCCAGTGGTCCAGTGGCTTTCACTGCCAGGGCCCAGGTTTGATCAGGGAACTGAAATCATGAAAGCCATGCAACAAGGCCAAAAAAAAAAAAAAGTCAGAAATGGAGTGAGAGTGCTTTATGCTCTGCTCCTCTGCATTAACAGTTACTTCTTATCTGTTGCTGTTGTTTTTTTCATCTTTTTTTATCTGTTGTTTTGAAAGGGGAATACTGAAACACGATAGTGTTTCTGTTCCACTATTACACAGTAGCGTGCCTCCATGCTATATCCCTCTCTATGCAGCAGATGTCAGCCTCACCCAGTCTTTCTCTTCCTAACTACAGATTCCTAAGAAAACTACCCTCTTACGCACCCTTTCCCTGGGTAAAAAGATTAATTTCTTCTCATCTTAAGCATGAAAAACAATAGTAAACAGTGATTCTGGAAACAGAGTTGTATTAATGTACCTTGAAAGGACTGTGGGACTATGGGAAAACGGGACAAGTGAGGGGTGGGGGACAGGTTAAAACCTGTGGGTCTCAGTTCAGTTCAGTCGCTCAGTCATGTCTGACTCTTTGCAACCCCATGAATCTCAGCACGCCAGGCCCCCCTGTCCATCACCAACTCCTGGAGTTTACTCAAACTCATGTCCATCGAGTCGGTGATGCCATCCAGCCATCTCAGCATCTGTCGTCCCCTTCTCCTGCCCAAAATCCCTTCCAGCATCAGGATCTTTTCCAGTGAGTCAACTCTTCTCATGAGGTGTCCAAAGTATTGGAGTTTCAGCTTCAGCATCAGTCCTTCCAATGAACACCCAGGACTGATCTCCTTTAAGATGTACTGACTGGATCTCCTTGCAGTCCAAGGGACTCTCAAGAATCTTCTCCAACACCACATTTCAAAAGCATCAATTCTTCGGCGCTCAGCTTTCTTCACAGTCCAACTCTCACACCATACATGACCACTGGAAAAATCATAGCCTTAACTAGACGGACCTTTGTTGGCACAGTAATGTCTTTGCTTTTTAATATGTGATCTAGGTTGGTCATAACTTTCCTTCCAAGGAGTAAGCGTCTTTTAATTTCATGGTTGCAATCACCATCTGCAGTGATTTTGGAGCCCAAAAAATAAAGTCTGACACTGTTTCCCCATCTATTTGCCATGAAGTGATGGGACCAGATGCCATGATCTTAGTTTTCTGAATGTTGAGATTTAAGCCAACTTTTTCACTCTCCTCTTTCACTTTCATCAACTATCAGGTGTGATATCAAGGTGGACTGTATCACAGTTATGCTATCAACTCAAGAAGATATGGACATGGACCTGATCAAAGGTCTTCATCTCCCTCAGGTGGAAGAAGCTGAGGTATCAGCAAGTAGCTGCAGTGTCCTGGGGAAAGATATCAGTGTAAACCATTGATATCCTGTCTGTCCAAAGGTACCCTATCTTTGTCCTCAGATAAGACGTTTCTCTGAGCCTCAGCTTCCTAATCTTTAAAAGAGGAAAAAATAATAGTTCTTGTCTACCCACAGTATTTAATGAGAAAAAAAATCAAGATATTGTGCAGAAAACAGTTTGTAGATAATGTATTATTTAAATATAGATAGTAGATTTAAAGTTATAAAGGCAAATGTAAGAGTCATGATGGCATCTGTATGATCTCCGGAGGCAGCAGCGTCGGAGCTCGGCCAAACATAAACGATGACAACAGCAGCTCGGCCAACTTTTGAACCTACAAGAGGTGGAAGAGGAAAAGGTGAGGGTGATTTGAGCCAGCTGTCAAAGCAGTATTCAAGCAGAGACCTACCCTCTCAAACAAAGATAAAATATAGACAGACCACTCAGGATGCCCCTGAAGAGGTTCGAAACCATGACTTCAGGAGAGAGTTGGAAGAGAGAGAGAGAGCTGCTGCAAGAGAAAAAAAAAAAAGATCGGCCAACCCGAGAACATATAACCTCTTCTTCAGTGTCAAAGAAGCCCCGATTGGACCAGATTCCTGCTGCCAACCTTGATGCAGATGACCCCCTAACAGATGAGGAAGATGAAGATGAAGATTTTGAAGAGGAGAGTGATGATGACGACACTGCAGCTCTTCTTGCAGAGCTGGAAAAAATTAAAAAAGAAAGAGCTGAAGAGCAGGCCAGGAAGTAACAAGAACAAAAGGCTGAAGAAGAAAGGATTCGTATGGAAAACATTCTGAGTGGAAACCCTCTTCTTAATCTCACTGGCCCATCCCAGCCTCAAGCCAACTTCAAAGTTAAAAGAAGGTGGGATGATGATGTTGTCTTCAAGAACTGTGCAAAAGGTGTAGATGATCAGAAGAAAGACAAAAGATTTGTAAATGATACGCTTCGATCTGAATTTCACAAAAAGTTCATGGAGAAATACATTAAATAGTACAGTTTTATGTGCTGAATTGAAGGCTATAAAATGTAAATGATCTGACTTCATTTTGATTTATTTTTCCCTCCCCACCCATGTCTAAATTCTGTATAGGCTTTAGTTCCAAAGTATCTTTTCCTTTATTGGTTAATTACTTGGTAAGGACTTGGGAATTGGTTTAACCCAGTTTCCATCTCAATATTTCCAGTCATGTGTTTTCTCTTAAATATGGGAAAAGAAACCCGCTTATAATAAATATTTTTAATAATCTAAATAGCCAAATCTGTGTCCCCAACTTGTTTGTTGAAATGTATGCAGCTAATAAAACATTACATATTTTCCCCAAAAAAATTAAAAAAAATAAAAAAATAAAGGCAAATGTACATTAGTTATGAATAAAGAAGAATTCAGTGCTCAAAATTGAACCTTCAGTTAATTATTCTTACAGATTTTTCTCAAATTACCAGAGGGAAATTTCTGTTTCTCTCCTGAGTTCCTTGTTAGCCATGTGGAATTTTGACACACTTAGGCTTTATTTCACAAAAAGATCCCAACCTGGAGGGAGCCATATAATACACATGAATGGTCTTGTGGAGGGAGAAGGGGTGGAGGTTCCTTTTCTAGCTTTTACATTGTACCATTAGTAGACAATCATAAGCCACTTATAAACTTCAAGTGCAAAAGAAATAGAAATATTAATCTTCAACAACCCGTTCTTTCCAATTGGCTGTGCTTAATTGCATTCCACGGTTGCATTTGATCCCATTCCTCTCTTAGCTTCTTAGTTCATAAATTGAGATGGCTAAAGCTTACCATATTGTGGTCAGTAAGCACCAGTTTAGGCAAGAGACCTGGAATTCATCACATTCTTATTTTATCTTATACTAAATCTACACCTTTTGAATTGAGACATTACTGAAAGAATTCATATTTGAGAGCAGAAAGACTGTTTTATACCTTGATGTTGAAATTTGAGCAGAAGTTTCAAAATGAGATTATTGATGCTCTCTGATGTCATGAGGAAAGGCCAAAAGCAATTCAGATTTTTTTCATTTCTCATGACTCATCCCCTCCTGTGGAGTTTTGGGCTATATATTCCCTGCCTTGTCTGTTCCTCTGCTCCTTTTGTTAAGAAAAAAATCCTTTTTGCATCACTACCCCCCCACCTTTTTTTTTTTTTTTTTTGCTGAGGCTTTCAATTTATTGTATCATGAACTGCAGAAGGAGAAGCAGTTGAACTCTCAACCTTTGAAACTTCTTAATACTTGCTGAGTGGTCAAGGGGAGAAGTAGAAAAGATTGTCGATTGGACTTTACCCCATTTGAAAAAGACCTTCCTACAACAGCTCAGCCATCCCCATTTTAAGGAATTAAGTATTTACTTTTCTTAAAATCCAAAATCTTTTGGAACATTCTGCAGAAAGTGAGGCCAAATTTCCACACTAGTGTCAACTTGGGAACTTTTTTAGACCCACTTTAAACTCAAGTGCTTTTGCATAAGGTATGTAACACATATTCAAAATAATTTCATTTTAGATATATACTTTTATATGCTATATTGCTTTCTGCTGTTTTTTCAGAGTACTTTGCAATTATAAATAGCCGTCATTGCTCTCACCTAAAGCAGGAGTTTCTGGGTAGAATTCGTCACAGAAGACTAGACACAATATCAATATGGAAGTAAGCCATCTCTTAACATCAACAATCTGCTTCATGATCAGAGAGGTGCTGATAACTCCCCACCTCCTCTCTGGTCTGCCTTTCTAATAATTTCATTATGCAAAAATATAATATTAGAAGCTATAAAAGGCCCCATTCCACCAGATTTTGTGTCATTTTTTTCCTGGGACCAGGGTTGAGGTCTTTTTTTTTTCTTCTTCTGTTTAATCTAACACTAAATATTAGTAAGAGATGTGATCAGTAAGGCTACCACTTCTTCCTGGTACTTCTGTTTCCACTGTACTCTTCAAGGCTGCTCACAATTATACTAAATGAACCTCTTTTCCATTAGTCTTAATTCTTTCCGTTCCCCTCTCCCACCCCGATTTCCTCCTATTTTCAGATACTTGAAGATAACGTCTCTACTGCCTTCTCTCCTTCAGATCTTCCAGACATAAATATTTTCATATATTCGCCAGTGTATTTGTGATGGCTTTGAAGTGTCTGCACAACCGGTCCCTTCTTTATAAAGCCCACGTCTGCTGAATGACCTATAATGCTATACCAGCTCCTGCACTCTCCCGAACAGTCGACCTGGGAGGATTTTACTTCCACTACTTACAAAGAGAAAGATGCAGACAAGGGAGAGGATCGATTACAATGAGGAGTCTTTTCATCCATCTTGTCGGCGATCTTTGGGGACTGTGTGCTGCTATTTACATTGAACAGGAGGGAGGAGAGGGAGGATGGAGAGCAACGCTGGAAGTGGGAGGCGGAGCTAGCCCAGCACTTAAAACCCCTCGCTAAAAGGGAAGCACGTTCGCTTGTGCTAGAGGCACTCTCCTGGAACCGCGAGGGATGGGGCGGTCTGCTCCCTGAGGACTGACGGAGATCGGAAGAAGGAAAACGAGGACAAGAAAACAGGCGACACAGAAGAGGACCTCTGGAGAAAGCGGAAGGCAGGAGACGGGAGGGGGAAGGAACCCACGCCAGGTGGAAACAGGACCCGGAGAGAACCGCTCGGGTCCACTGAAAGAGAAGAAAGTACCGGAGGATTGCCTTTTTTCCTTTCAGTTAATGAAAACGACTTTTATCCTCATAAAAGGCTAAGGGGAGGTAAAGACAATCTCTGTTTTCTTAGGGGGATAGCTGAGGGAAATCCAGACTATCTCTTTGAAGCTCTGAAATAAGCCACTGCCTGCTACACAGTGCAAAACGGTCTTGGTTTCTGAAGAGCTACATCCCTTTCAGGAGCATTCCAGCCAGAGTAGCTGGTACAGTTCTATTTTTACATTTAAATGTCTGTGTCTCTCCCCCCGCCCCCATTTTAACAACACTTTCCTTGTTTGTAAGCACGAGTGACAAGAAAGTGTCAAGACGGAATAGGAATATTTTCATCTTTCTCTTTTATCTGCCTGGGTCTTTTTATTATTTTTTAAAGAGGGTAGGAGTGGTCCTTATCACGGAAAAGGACGTTTCCATTTGAAAGGCTCTCTCTCTAAATATATTTACACCCATATGCATTTAGAAAGAGAGATACCTTTCGGAGGTTGAAATCCTATTGAGAAACATGGAAAAAGGAGCCAGGCACCGGAACAACCCTGAAAAGAACCACCCAGGTGGGAGCAGTTCGCAGGAGGCTGATTCTGGAGGGGGCGGAGTGGCCCTGAAGAAAGAGATTGGATTGGTCAGTGCTTGTGGTATCATTGTAGGTGAGTCCAATTCCTTTTCCCACCGACCGTTCCTCCCTGTCTGGTGGTCCTCTCGTAGAACCTTAATCCCTCAGGCCCCCAGCCCCGCAAAGTACTGTTTGCTGCGTCCTGCTCCCTTAGAAAAGGGTTGTCGTTCACCTGTGCTATCGCCTACACAAGCGGATTAAGTTTGAGAGGTATAGGACGTGCTGTATATCATGCATCTCTTCCCCCAAACCAGTCCTGTCCAGTGTTTGGGGAATGGAGCACTTAGGGGACACCTCCTGGCTGATGGTCAGTGTTGCCTGCAAGCTTCTTGAAAATATAGGTCTCTGGACTTATATAGGTCCAGTGACTTAAGGTAGGACTGGGGAACCTAGATTTTTAACAGGCTTTTCTGCAGCCATCTCCTTACCAGGCTGTGGATTGGCTTTTGAGACATATTTAGGAGCTATTTGGTTTTACTTTATATGAGACTGTGGGTCTCGGGGGTGTGTAATAAAAATAGCCACAACAGCAGTGTAAGGATGCCTTGCCTTTCTCTAGCTTTTCCATCTTATCCAGCACTTTATCTCGTGAAGTAGATGTGACAGGGCTGTTATTCCCATTTCATGGGTGAGGAAATAAATTATGGAAGAAAAGACACGACAGATTGTACCTTTCTGTAACTGTGTAGTTGGCAGCTTCTCTCATTGCTTAGTGGAGTTGTGTAATATCCATGTCCCTTACCTCATGAAAGACCTTGTGAGGTTCTGAAGGGAAACAGGAGTAATTAGAATGGGGAGTCCGGCTGAAGGCTTTGAAACTGGGAAGCCTGAGTGTCCTGCCTTTACGCCAGAAGGTGAGAGTTTCTTCTGCTGTCTTTGGGAAGGGGCCTTATGTTTTCCCCAGAGAAAGGGATACAGGACAGTCAGGCCAGATCAGTTTCTGTGCGGACTTCCTGTTGAAGGCTTGTACTGTCCTGATGCCTACAGACCAGTTTCTCTAGAATAATCTCATGGTCATCATGGTAGCACAGAAGCATTTTGGCAACTAAGCAATGCTGACATTGGAGAACACCCTTGAAATCAAATAATATCAGTACAGTATTCAGATAATCCTCTTCACCTCTGCACCCAGCCTTCAGTGTTATCTCCACTCAGCTTTCAAGGTGGAATGCTGCTCTAATTCTCTGACTCTGGTAGGTTTCCAGGCATCTACAGTTACAAGTACGGTAATGTTATTTTAGAATATTATAGTCAGGATTTTAATCTCTCATTGTCTTTTCTCTATCTCGCCTTTATTGCAACTGCTCTAAAAAATGAGATCAGCAAAATCCTCAATATGTACAGCACATGCCAATTTAAGGTCTATAAATAGCCCAGAGCTGTTACCTCTTTCACCAGTTTGACTGAGAGGATTGAGTACTTTCCTCCCTTTGGGAAGATTCTGATTCATACACAGATGTTTACACCCACATGCACATGAGCACAATCAGACCTCCTTCCTGCCTCAACCTTGCTCACCCACCCCTATATATGTGCAAGTATTCAAGGGTTGAGGATATTTTCCTATATAATGGGCTTGTTTTTGTCTCTTTCTTTAGTATTTTTCTAAGACTGTGAAGAAATGGGAGTGTCCAGGTGTAAGAGCTATGGCTTTTAGTTGGGTGAATGCTACTAATGATTTGTCCACAACCTCGTGGATAGCACTTCAGTGTAAGAATAGTCCCAGTGCTCCTACTGGTATTGTAGCAAGAAGAATAACAACTCTGGTATTCTATGGTGAAAAGAGGCCCCAAATATATGATTTCAGAGAAATCAGGGTATTATTCCAAAGTTCAAGAATCCTTGTAGAGTTAATAGTCATGATTGTATCTCCATTTAAGCTGAGACACACATTTCCCCTTTAGGGTGTTGTGGGGGCAAAATCCTTTCCACTTCCCCTGCCCGTGTGGCTGTTGATTTACAAAAGTGCTGAGTAGCTGCCCTGTCCTCTAGAGGGGTTTCCGAGTAGATGACAGTGATTCAGGTTTTTTCAAGACCAAATGCAAAAATAGAAATGGCATTCTGCACATGAAATTTAGTGATCTAGTGTTCAGTGTCAACACTGTGGAAGAAAGAATTCGGAGATATAAAGAGAAAGGAAATTTCCTAAGTGAATTAGATCACGAGGTATGGAAAAATAGCAACTGCCCCAAATTGATCTCATATCCAGTTAACTTAGGGATAAGTTAAACAATGTTTCATAAAACATTACAAAAGTTTCATTCACAATCAGCATCAATAATTTAAAATAGGAATAATAAGGACTTCTCTGGTGGTCCAGCGGTTAAGAATCCGTCTGCCAAAAAAAAAAAAAAAAATAGTATCCCATCTGCCAGTGCAGGGGTTATGGGTTCCATCCCTGGACTGAGAAGATCCCATATACCTCAGGGCAGTTAAGCCCGTGCGCCACAACTACTGAATCCTGAGGACCTAGAACCTGTGCTCTGCAACAAGAGAAACCACGGCAATGAGAAGCCAGTGCATTACGTGGAAGAGTGGCTTCCGCTCGCCACAGCTAGGGTGTGTCCATTCATAGCAACAAAGACCCAGTCCAGCCATAAAGAAATAAATAACAATTTTAAAATAAAATAGGAATAACAAGATGGTCGGTGTTACAGAAATACAAAATGAACCAATAGAAGATGCAGGCTCTAGAATTATCTATAATCTGATTGGAGAGATAAGTTTTATATGCATTAGACAAAGAACATTGGAAATTTATGATATGGTTGAGTTACTTAAGGAGGAAAAATTTAGGTGAATGGTGAGAAGCACAAAGAAAGAGAAGTTCTCCCTGAGAACTAGATTAAGAGCCTCTTGAAGGACATGGAGAAATATAGAACAGAGAAGATAATTCTGGGAGATTTGGTAGATAGAAGGACAACAACTAAACTGTTATTTCCTTGAGCAAAAAAATGTGAATCTTTAGTGCTTAGCAGAGTCCCTGACTTGAAATAGTTACTCAAATGATTGTTGAATTTAATTGACCCTTTGACAAAAATGTGAAGACAGTAGTAATAAAGTGTTTATTTGAATGGCTGTTGGGAACCTGACTTGAAAATCTTTTAAGCTAGGAATAGTTTCATCAACTTGGAAATGAGGTTGTCCAGTTTTAATTTTTAAACGTCACCTTTGCCCTAATTTAACCAGGCTATTGCTCACCATATATTTGGCCAAAGAAACCTGTTGGCAATAGGTGAACTTAGATTTCTCCATGAATGTGGAGTCCGCCTCAAAATCTAAAGAAACTACGAAGGAGCCACAAAATTCATTAATTAATGCTATCAAAGCTACTGTTATTATTAAAAATTTATTATATGCCAGACACTTGTCCAATTGCCAAACATACATTCTTTTTTTTTTTTAAGTATTTATCTGGCTGTACCAGGTCTTAGTTGCAGCACATGGAATCTGGTTCCCTGGACAGGGATCGAACCTGGGCCCCTGCTCTGGGAGCATGAAGTCACTGGACCACCAGGGAAGTCCAGCATTGTCTTATTTATCCCTTACAATAATCCCATGTGGTAAGCACTTCTTAGTCCTTCCTCCACATAAGGAAATACAGGCTCAGAGAGACAAGAAACTTGGTCACACAGCTGAAAAATATTAAAGATTCAGACCTACAGCTTGTCTAAATCCTAAATGAAACTCATAAGCATTAATTCTCTACTCTCAATTGCCATGTCCTAAAAGAGGTGTTTGCCTTCAGATCCTGTGCAGAGGTCCTTATTTGTTTTTATAGACGAAGCACTCAGTGTTGTGTTCCTTGCAAGGAAGTGTCCCAATGTAAACAAGATCTGAGCAGTCAGCTGAGAGCTGAAGTACCAGTATAGCTGCAGGAAGACACTGGTGGGGGGTTGGAGCCTGAGGTGTGCTGGCTCCACTATTGCAGGATGTGGTCAGCACAGACCATGCTTCCACTGACTCTCCCACATGCTCACTCTTCCTTTCTGGACCAGCGTTCTCTACTGTAAAAACCATAGCTTTACATAAACTCTTTATATATATTACCTTATTTAATCCTGACCACCATTCTGTGGAAATAGATATTATAACTCTGTTTTAAAATGGGGAAATGGAGTCACAGACCCTGGAGGACAGACTACTGAGATCTTCTGACTCCAGAGTCAAAGCTCTTAGCCATTTCCTGTTTCTAATTGGTGACCAAGAGAGGGAGGGAGGCTGATGTGTCTTGTGCGGTGGGGGAGTGGGCCATGCAGGACCATAACCCTGACATTGGAGTTGGGAAAGGACATTGGTATCTGATACTGGAAAAGTTGGGGGAAAACTTTTTTAAAAGGTTGTTTTGTCAACAAAGAAGCATACTGTAGGTGTAACCATACTGAAATGGCACTGGGCTGATTTGGAAATATTTCAGGTCCAAAAGATTTTCAGACCCATGTATTTTGACACCATTTTAGAAGATTTTACATTTTAGTCTTTGATTTAATGTATTAGCTTTCTAATCCCCCAAATGTCTATTGGATATTAACCAGAGGGCTGGAGTGTGAAAATTCTTCTCAAATTTGTACTTTAGTTTTTGTTTGTTTTTTTTTTCCAACATGAGAGGGATTAGGATTTGGTTCATTCAAGATGAAAACATGTTTAAAACTCTCATTGTTCTCAAAGAAAACTTTGAGACAGAAGCCAAGTAGGATACTTTTCAAAACAAACACATCTTGGTAAACAGAGAGAGGTTATACTCAGTGGTGTAATAATAATAAGTAGCTACCATTTACTGAGCACTACCACATAGCAGATCAGTGCTTTATGAGTATTTTCATCTAAGCCCATGAAATAAGTACTGTTATGGAAAGGGTGGAATTGAATGAATAAATAACTGGCAGTGGCAGAGCCAGGATTCCCACCCAAGTCATTGAACTCTGAAGCCACTGGGCTTAATCAAAATGCTCCACAGGGTGGCTGGAACCAGGGATCCTGTTGCTTCCTACCTCCAGGAACCAGGGGCTCAAGGAGTAATCTAGTTGAGGCAGG